GTTTGGTTGAAATTGGCCCAGTGGTTCTTGAGAAGAAGTCGAAAATGTGAAAAGTTTACAGACAGACAGACAGACAGACGGACAGACAGACAGACGGACGCCGGACAAAATGTGATCAGAAAAGCTCACTTGAGCCTTCGGCTCAGGTGAGCTAAAAATAATTATAAGAGTTGAAAAGGTTGTGCATATTGAAATATACTAAGCTCTGCGGATGAATTAGATATACCAGTTTAGCTTTATTTTGCTACCCAAAGCACCTTGATTAACTATTTATAAGCATACTGTTTTCTGAAATGTACTGATTTCTGTTGTCCATCTGTTTATCTGCAAACTTTTCACATTAACTTCTTAAGAACCTCTGGGCTAATTTCAACCAATTTATATTTAAATATGCAGGGTACTTTTTAAGCGCCCGGATCGATAGATCCCGGGCGTATATTGTTTTTGTCCTGTCTGTTTGTCTGTTTGTCTGTTTATCTGTTTGTCTGTTTGTCAACTTTAACCTTGGCCATAACTTTTGAACAATAAGGGATAGAGACTTCATATTTGGTAAGCATACTCCACTAATAAAGTCCTTTCAAATGACTTCAATGTCAATGACCTTGTGACCTTGACTAAGACTTATATGCTAAAAATAGCTTTTTCCACTGTTTGTCATAACTTTTGAACCATAGGAGATAGGGACTTCATATTTGGTATGCATACTCCACTAATAGAGTCCTTTCAAATGACATCAAGGTCAATGATCTTGTGACCTTGACTGTGACCTATATGCTAAAAATAGCTTTTTACACTTTTTGCCGTAACTTTTGAACCATCAGAGATAAGGACTTCATATTTGGTATGCATACTCCACCAATTAAGTTCTTTCAAATGACACTGTGGTCAATGACTTTGTGACCTTGACTGTGACCTATATTCTTAAAATAGCTTTTTCCACTGTTTGTCATAACTTTTGAACCATAGGAGATAGGGACTTCATATTTGGTATGCATACTCCACCGATAAAGTCCTTTCAAACCACGGCAAGGTCAATGATCTTGTGACCTTGACTGTGACGGATATGCTAAAAATAGCTCTTTACACTTTTTGCCACAACTTTTGAACCATAGGAGATAGGGACTTCATATTTAGTACGCATACTCCACTGATTAAGTTCTTTTGAATGACACCATGGTCAATGACCTTGTGACCTTGACTGTGATCAATATGCTAAAAGAAGATTTTTTTAACTTTGTTGCCGCCGGGCGCGTAGTGTTTCACAAACACATCTTGTTCCAACATAAATCTTCTTCTCAAGAACAGCAAAGACATTTATTG